GCCCTGACTAGGAATGGAACGACATTAAATCACTGAGTCACATAGGCTGGGCTAGATTTGAAATTTTATTAGTCACAGGACATCAAGAAATTCACTTAAGTTCTTTGCGTTTCAATTGCCTCAGATGTAAAATGGGAAGAAAAATGTCTGCTTTGCCTAAGCCTTCAATATAATAGAATGTTCTGAGTGAGTCCCGCTGCATGGAAACTCAGCATAACTATTTCATAGTTATTTCGTTTTTAAATTAGGTTAAAAAATTGTGGACATAATCTTGGCAGTGAACTCTCCATGACCCTCCAAATCATGGTCCATAATATTTCCTTGGGTCATTCCGGTTCAATCTGCCACTTCAGAAACTCGTGGCCTTTTTTTAGGGTGTAAATCTAGGCTATTGGGTCACAATATTTCATACTTCCAAAGTTGAATATCCTGCCAGGTTCACTCTCTTCTCTTGCTCTTTATTCCATACCAGCCCACAATATTCTCTAGTAAGACTTATGAGAAGCACCACTGCTGCTTTCTTTAGCTTATATAAATAACTGTATAGTGAACAGCCATGATAAAAAGCTACAATCTTTTAGTAACTGAAAGCTAACCTCAGTTTATCCAGAGATCAAAAAGGCATTTTTCAGACCTTAACTTATTTTAGACACCCACAAGAGAGCTTCAGTGAACAAAATTAACTAAGGAAATAATAATGAGAAACATCAAATGTTAGAGCACTATTTTTTTAGACTTATTTCAGCAGGATGTGTTCATTCAAACCATTCGCCTCCATCCAGGCAAACTTCAGAAAATGTAAACCATAAACTTTTTTCGTATTTTCTATTTTTGCACAACTCACCCTCTCTTCTAGATAAGACTCAACAATGAAAGTTTGTTCTAACATATTACAAGTCTGCAAACTTTAAATATCTAAGCTATAAACATTTTTCTTAATTTTCTATTTTTGCATTCTGAGCCCCAGACCTGCATTAGAGGGAAACCTAGAAGTAAAAGGGTGCCTTGGCACAGTACTTTTACCAAATACAATGCTCAGCGTGTAAGACGTTCTCCCTCCAATGTAGGAGGGACATTGAACTCTGTAATGATGATAGAAAGGGGAACTGCCAGAAAGACTCTATGAGTCACTGAAATCACAACTGCTTGGGACTGTTTTTCTACTATGTTGAAGATCTTATCCTTAAACTTTCTGTGATCAGTAGACTGCTATCTGTTCAAGCCAACAGAAAATGAGTCAGGCCATGGAGAGTGTCAGTGGGAAGAGCCCGCCATGACATCCCACTCCTTATCCCAGCATCAGGGTTTGACAAGTGGAAACCCAGAGGCTCAAAAAAGGTCAGTTGAAACATCCCTTCGGGACCCATGACTCAGGAAATGTGGTATCCAGGGTAAGTATGGCCAGGAAGCCTAATAACCTCAATGATACCCTTTGTGTCAGCATCCTGACAAGGTGCTTTTACTTCTCAGCCCTAAAAGAAATGGAGCTTGGGGACAAGGCCAGCACACCAACACGCATGAGTGGGTCTGCAGTACTGCGGGAGTTGGATCAAAACACTAAGAAACACCGAAGTAGCTGTACTGTGAGAGGGCGTGGAAAAAAACACCCATGCTAAAACAGAGGGAAACCTTCTTAGCAACCATTAGGGCAAAAGCATATAATGACAATAGTGGCAGGTTATAGATAAGTAATCTACAGTAAAAGTGACATTCTTATGTTACTTAATAAATCAGTGAGTGACACACACAAGGTCAATAAAGAGCAACTCCTAAGGACCCTCCCATTAAAGGGCTTTAAGTTCTAACAGTCTTCCCTGTTCTTCCTAGAAAATTAGTGGATACCTTAAAATGAAATAGAAATCTGACATCTTCAATTTGACCTGAAAACCTTGAACAAAGAGCTCCTTTGAGAGACCGTTAATGTTCCTAAGCTAAATGGGAACCATAAAAAAGGAGCCAGAATCTGGAAGTATAGAAAGCTAAAACAAAAGTACAACCAGAAAAAATTGTTCCTTACCTAAACTTTATGTGACCTGGAAAGCTCTCTGTAGTATAAATTGTTTGGTTTTCAAATGGGGAAACACTTCTATTTTATTCCTGTGCACGATGCTCACTAACTTCATAAGAGATGTTTTCTATTTAAATTCACTGACCATGAAGATCAGGCCTTTAAAGATTACTTCTGCATTTCATTATCACTACCATATCAAAGCATTTATATTGGCACAATGCTTCAAATGTAAGGCTCTCATTTTCCTACAATTAAGAATTTTCTTAAAGTGTAAATCTTCCAGCAATGGACTGCATAGTAACATTCCCTTTTTGTAAGAAGAAAATTTGTTAAGAGAAAATGTAAAACTCTCTGGGTTGTAGTAAAAATTTATTATACGAATGTAAATGTCCAAACAAAAGCTTTCTACAAGGACCTAAGAAAATCCTGTCCCTAAATTGTCCTCCCTGATTATAATCCACTATCCTAATTTCAACTCCCCTTTAAACTGCTGAAATGATAAAAGACTTTAAAAGTTAAGATTTCTGTTTCATAACTTTAAAAATTTATGGCTATAATGGAGGGACTCCTGAAGTATGTCAACCTCCTTTAATATACTCTTTAATCAGGGGATATTTTAGGAATGCTTTAGGAATATTAAGAAGTACAAAAGAATAATATAAGAAACACCTTCACATACCCATCACTCAGCCTAAAAAGTAAAATGTCTTAAATATTCTTGCATCTGCATGTAAATCACTCCATGATCCTTTTCTACTCCTTCCCCACTGGTAACTAATATACTGAACTGGGAACTTAGGATGTAAATTCAAGCATATACACTTTTCTTAGATGTGTATGATTGCTTTTAAAGTTTCTATAAATGATATTGTACTCTATGTATCCTTCCATTTGCTTATTTTGCTCAACATATTTTATATATGTATATGTGTGTGTGTGTGTGTGTGTGTGTGTGTGTGGTATGACACTTTCATGGAGAGAAATTTAGAGTTCCCTTAGGGAAGTGGTTCTCAACCTTCTGGCCCTTTAAATACAGTCCCTCATGTTGTGACCCAACCATAAAATTATTTTCGTTGCTACTTCATAACTGCAATGTTGCTACTGTAATGAATCGTAATTTAAATATCTGATATGCAGGATGGTCTTAGGCGACCCCTGTGAAAGGGTCGTTCAACTGCCAAAGGAGTCACGACCCACAGGTTGAGAACCGCTGCCTTAGGGTGTATAACTAGGAGTAGCTCTCCCAGACCACAGCCCTAGCAGCTGGTGCCCGGGACTGTAGGGAGGGCGGCTTGTCCCTCTGCTGAGCCGCTGCCTGGCTGGTCCCCATTCCTCTCTCCCCAGTGTTGTGTCTAAGCTTCGATGGCATGATGGCTTGAGGGTGTGACAACCATTTGCATATTAATTCTTTATTATATAGGATAAACAGTACAAAATGGTATATCATTGTTTTAGACTGCAGGTAAAGCATCTTTTTTATATGTTTTAAAAATGTTTATTGGCCATTTGTGATTCTGCTTTTGTGTATGGCCTGCTCATAGCCTATGCCCATTTATAACATTTTTTATTAAATATTTTAGGAGTTATTTATATAGATTCTATATTGGTAACATGCATTGCTCCCTATCTGGGGTTTATTTTTTCACTTTGTTGATATTTCTATTTTTATTCATATATTTACCATTTCCAGTGCTCTACCTATATATCCAACTTTCCATCTGGTATCACTTCCGTTCAATCTAAAGATTTTCCTTTAAACATTTCTTGTAGTAAAGGTCTGCTGGCAACAAATTATCTCTGGTTGTTTTTTAATTTAGAAAAGTCTTTATTTCACCTCATTTTTGAAAGCATTATCACTGGATATAGAATTATTGGTTGACTGTTTTTTTTTCTTTAAGCACTTTAAAGATGCTATTCCATTGTCTTTTGGTTTCACTCTAATGAGTAGTCAGGAGGCACTCTTTCCCCTATATACAATGTATCTTTTTACCTAAGTTGTACTTATGATATTTTCTTTGATTTTCTCAACAATTCTACTATGATGTGATGAAAGATGCTTTTCCTTGAATTTATCCTGCTTGGATTTTGCCCAGCTTCCTAGATCTGTAGGCTGTTTTGTTTGTTTTTGTCAGATTTGGATAATATTTAGCCATTAATTTCTGAAAAAGTTTTTCTGCTATATCACTTCTCTTCTCTCTTCAGACTCCAATCAATAGTATGTTACACTGCTCAATGCTATTCCACAGAGCACTGATATTTAATTTCCTTCTCAATTATTTTCTTTCCTCTGCTTGAATCTGAATGCTTTCTAATAATTCATTTTCAAATTTATTTATCCTTTTATATTGTGTCCTACCTGCTATTGATGCCATCTGATGAAATTTTGACTTTAGTTCTAAAATTTTCCTTTGGTTCTTTTCTAGTTTACATATATCTTTGATAATTCTTCATTTTTTCACCCACAATATCCATCTTTTCCAGTAGTCTTTACTATTACATCTATATAGTGAGTTTTGTTATCTGGCAGAGTAAGTCCCTCCATGTTGTTCTCCAAAATTGCTTTGCCTATTTTTGATCCTTTATTTTTCAAATAAATTTGTCAAATTACATAAAAAGCCTGCTGAGGATAATTACATCTTTAAAGTATCAAGTCTTCTCATCCACAAACATGGTATATTTTCCCATTCATTCAGCTCTTCTTTCATGTCTTTAATAAACCTTTATAAATTTTCCACAAACTTATATTTCTGTCATATTACATATAAAATATCTTTTAAAAATTATATTAAAAATATCTTTTCATCTAATGTATCCCAATTTACTCTGCCATATTCAATGAATTTCATCAAACTTGTTTACTAAAGCTATAAATTCTAAGGTTCATTTCATAACACATAATCTAAATGATAATAATAGTAATGTAACTCTTCAATTTGCAAACATTTTTTTATGTCATACATTTGTCAAGCATCTTATCCTCCGTACTCACCAAAAAGCTCCATTGTCTCTACTTTCAGTGTCCATGAAATTAGAGTCCAAAAATATGTCTTTGTAGATTCGACCAACTAGGCAATACATATCTGAAGCAACTTGCCCTTCACTTTGCACCAGGGGAATCATAATATCAAGAGCTTTTGCTCTATCTCCAGGGAGATTTCTCCTAAGGTAGGGGGAGAAAAACATCAGTTTCAATACAGATTAGGTCAATTATCTTTTAAAAAAAATATTTTTATTGATTCCAGAGAGGAAGGGAGAGGGAGAGATAGAAACTGATGATGAGAGAGAATCATTGATTGGCTGCCTCTTGCACGCCTCACACTGGGGATTGAGCCCACAGCCCAGGCATGTGACCTTGACCAGAATCGAACCTGAGACCCTTCAGTCTGCAGGCCGACACTCTATCCACTGAGTCAAACCAGGTAGGACAATTATCTTTTTAAAATTCTAATATATTGATTCACACTAGGCAGAATAAAAACAATTAGACTTTGAAAGTCCTCTGTAAGCCTCTGTCCCAACCCTTTCTGTTTTTTAATCCTACTGCTTGTCTCCTGGTTCTAACAAGGATCTCCCTTGAATTGCTTTTCTGGTAACGGTGATGGTTTGTTCTTACCTATCCATAGTCCTTCCAATTTCCCTGCAGTCTATATGCAAGTTCAAGCTGGTGAAGTGAGATTAGGAATGCAGTTTGTGGCCCCAAATGGAGCAGAGTCAACTAATCCAAACAGGGACAAAACCCCGACTTTAGGTTTTAATGGCTTTTGCTCCAAAACCCTGAGCAAAGTAATTCACAGACAATACCAACAAGTCAACTTTAACCCAAGGATTGCCTGATTTCTATGTGTGACCAATCAATTATTTAAAAAGCTGCTTTGTGTAGCTCATTCTAAAACAGCAAGTATGTATGTTGTGTGCCATGATGGGGACAGAAGGGAGAGAGGCAGGACTAGAAGCAGCAGTATTAGTCCTGGACCTAGAAGATTAATGGACACATGATCTATGATTATAATTAGGTGTGTTCAGAGCAGTCCTAGTGAAAATATTATCTGGTTCAGAATATGTTCACCTAGACATAACTACCCTTAAACCTATTTTAGTCAATTTAAAAAAATATATATTTTTATTGATTTCAGAGAGGAAGGGAGAGAAAGAGAGACAGAAACATCAAAGATGAGAGAGAATCATTGATCGGTTGCCGTGTGCATGCCCTACATTGGGGATCAAGCCTGCAACTCAAGCACATGCCCTGAGCGAGAATTGAACCATGACCTCCTGGTTCATAGGTCGCCACTCAACCACTGAGCCATGCCAGCCGGGCCTATTCTAGTCAATTTTTGAGTGAATAACCACTTGCTATTGAGTATGTTTGCTTAAAGTAATATCATATTCATGTAATTTAAAAAATTCTAAAAACATGTAAATAGCAGATATAACCTTTGACAGAGAAGAATTTTAAGGATTTTATTATTAAAAGATTGCGAATTTTTTATTACTAACAAAAAAATCATAAAATAATAAAAATTCATGCTTCCTATATTTTACATGGTTGAAATGGAAATATTAATACTGCATTCTTATAGGGAGTGGTTGCAGGGCTAAAGCAAAAAAATATACCCTAGAAAGAATATACAGGTTTAAAAATAATATGTTAGCACATTGTGAACAGGAACTTTTTCTTCTTACCTATTCAGTGCAAATGCATAATGAAACTTCACATGATGATGGGAGGCCAAATCAAAGGTTGGCAGCTTTTCTAAAGTCTCTACCAGCTTCACAATAGAATCATATTCCTATAACAGGAGAAGAACAGCATAGAATTAAACCAGTAGGAGAAAGTTCTGACAATGATATGATTTTTGACAACCAGATATCTTAATCTGAGTAGGACATTAAAAACAGAACTAAAATCCAAGGAATACTTTGAAAAAGCTACAACCAAGAAGAAACTTTAAAAAAAAATAAGGGTTTTGATTATATAGATTAAAACATTAGAAATACAGTTACCACATCTAACCAGCAAAACAATAAACCATCTAGCATGATAATGCTATACTGACTTGATACGGTTGTACCTCTCCATGGGGCCAGATTCCTGGCATGCAGTGTCCTATCAATTACTTTAAAAAAAATAATTTCCAAAATATCAAGAACATGGAGCAACTGATTGAACTTCTGTTATCATCAACAAAACAACTTCATTTCTTTCTTTTTTAAAAATATATATTTTACTGATTTTTACAGAGAGGAAGGGAGAGGGATAGAGAGTTAGAAACATCGATCAGCTGCCTCCTGCACACCTCCTCCTGGGGATGTGCCCACAACCAAGGTACATGCCCTTGACTGGAATAGAACCTGGGACCCTTCAGTCCGCAGGCCGACGCTCTATCCACTGAGCCAAACTGGTTAGGGCAAAACAACTTCATTTCAACATGAATAAGCTACTCTAGTCATAGGATCCTAAGTGCCACACTTCTCCACATGGACGAATCTCTGCTGTTCTTAACTCAGGCTTGAAAGACTGAAAATAAGAAACCAGAATTCACTTAAATTTTACTGTAAAAATCTAATCGCAAATCCCCAACTCAGAAAGTTTCATTCTATTTACCATATTTTTACAATTCCAAGACATGTCAATAAAATAGTAGGGAATGTGGGTGTGTCTTATATTATATATTTTAAAAGTTCTTTTTACAGGGATGTAAAAGTACAGCATAGGGAACACAGTGAACAATATTGTGATAACTATGTGGGGTGATCACATTATAAGTTATCAGAATGTCTGATCATTATGTTGTATAGCTAAAACATATTATATGTCAACAGTAATTAAAAAATTAAAAATATTTTAAAGTTATTTTTATAATTAATCAATTGCATATCAATTGATTAATTATAAAAATAACTTTAAAATATTCTGGCTATCAATTTCAAGCAACATAATTTCAATGAAGATATGTCTAAAAAAAACTCTCAAAATTTTGGCTATTTGCCAAAACAAAGCTTTTACTTATTGACTGGCAGGTGTACCTGAGGCTAACGTAATAGAACAGATTGTCCCTGGGTTAGCTATGCTTGCAGATTTGTCTTTAAGTCCCTCTGGAGGAAAAAGACCTTTATAATACAAGTCTTTCACAATCACTAACTGTTACTCAAATGAATCTATCTCGTTCATCATAAAATCTGGGGACAGAAAGCATACAAGAGTCAATAAAAAATTACATGTACTAACATGAATGACATAGTTAACTGAAATTTGATGTTGATACTCCCATATATTTCCAATATACTAGTACTACATGAAAAAGATTTTAAGCATCTTCTTACCTGTATATCTCTGTAGGAAAGTAACAGATTTATGACAATATCTGCTGTCAAGACTTCAATATTATCTAATCGCTGCCGAATTCTTGCCAATTCAGCTGCCAGTTCTTTGCCAGTGTATAAATTACGAGCTTTCCTGATATCATTGAGTATAGATTCCCGGAAATACTGGCTAATGGGAAAACACATTTCAAAGAGTTAACACTAGAAAGAATTTCAATGAAAAGCAATAATTTCATATGGAAAAGAATACCGTTTGCATCATTGGTAGCTTTCAATTCATTAAGATGCACAGAATGAACACCTCATATAAGTAGCATTATTAAGAAATCTGGAAGTCCTATATTTCTATTGACACTCTGCCTTGCTTCAGGAAGAATTAAAGGTAGATATCCTATGTTAATGAATTTCCCAAGAACTTGTAATGAACCATTTAAAATGCCCAAACTTTATTTTTAATTTTATGGTTTTGAGTATAAATATTCTAAATAAATTAAGGTGTGCCTATGATTTGAACATAATATTACCTTTACTTTCTGACTCAGCATCATCATTTAATAATATAAATGACCCTTAAATAAAAATAAGTAAGAAACCATATAATATTATATTTAAATAAAATATAATAATGCTCTCAGCAATTTTTGCAGAGTTCTTGCTCTTAAAATAAAAGTCCCTGGACATTTACTAGGATAATGTTTCTGTACTTTAAATTTATTTTTAGCTCTATTATCAGTATAACACAGCAGTCCTTTATATTTCTGATTTCAAGTTAGTCTGTGAATAAGTGAATAAAAAGCAACATGTCGACTACGGGGCATCTATTTTAACACTAGAGGATATTATACAGTTTTCCTGCTTCCTGGCTGCTGTGTACTATATCTAAGAAACATCTCATCACATGCACAAATAAGTAGACTAACACTTCATTTATTAAACTTACCTGGAGCCAGCTTGTGCCACGTTCAGAAGTTGAATGAAACGATCCACAAGAGGTAAGCAGATGGGTCCCAGAAGCAGCTCGAAGTTGGACTGCATGAGTTCTGACAACCCCTTCATGAAGCTACAGTCACAGCAGTAGACCTTGTTGTGTGGAGTCACCATGTACGGGACGAACGTGTAATTCCCAGTGCACATCTGTGGACGGAGGCACCAGGAGGTGGTGAGCCAGCTTGTAGACTCCACACTAGCGTAACCCCAAGCCTTACTTAAGTGAGCATTTTAAATAATAATTCTGAATGTGACAGGAAAGAGAAAAGCCTCATTTTTTATTTATGACCTATGAAAATGGAAATTTCCTCCAATTTCTTTAATTGCTTACTTCAAGTAATGAGGACTTACAGATGATTCAAAAAACAGTATGGCACAGTTTCTATCAATCAATTTAAATATTCACCATCTCTCAGGGCTGAGGCATATGATATACGTTGTAGGAAAAACAGTGTAATTTAAAACATGGCCTTCTGCCTTCAGGGGACTTAAAATGTAATCAGAGAGATACAACGCAAATACAGGGAAATAATAAGAACTAACATTTAAGGGCTGCTAATGTGACAGAACTAAGCTACTCCCCTCCAGGTCGCTGTGTCTCAGTCATGGCTCCATTAGTCTCCCAGTTTCTAAAACTAGAGATGTAAAAGTTATCCTTGATGCTTCCATCCTTTAACTCCCACATCCTATCAAAAGCCTATCTATTCTACCTCTAAAATATATCTCACATTTGTCCATTCCCCTCCATCTTCTCACCAGCACTACAAGACCATCAGTGCCACTAACATACCGGCCTGAACCAGTCTCCCTGCTTCCACTCCTGCCCTCAATCTATTGCCTACCCAGCCGTCAAAGTGATCCTTTTACAGCCCATATCAGATCACTTCCCTCAGCTGTTTAAAGTCCTCTCCCGTGCTCCTGAGGTGAAGAGAAAACATATCACTGTAGTACAAAGGCCTGACTATCCAAATTCTGCCTTTCTCTAACCCCAGCCCATGCGGCTCTCCTCCACTCACTCATCCTAATCTTCTGTCAGTTCCCGATGGCGCCAAGTGAGGGAACACTAGTGCAAACAAAAGCAGAGCTGGGAAGAGGGAAGGCAAAGTCACACTGGGCACCCCTGGGTGATAAGCAAGTCTGACTAGAGCTTAGGGCTCAGGGGAGGGGAGTGAAGGCAAAGCTGAGGATTTTAAATTACATATGCTGGGCAGGGAGAATCATGGAGGATTCAGAGCAGGAAAGAAAACATCATCAAGGCAGTGCATTCCGACAGTTAGGCAGAAAATTATGTAGGAAGCTACAAAGCATGACCAGACTGGCAGCAATAGCAATGGACACATGCCCTCAATGTCAAAAAGAAAGAATCGTCTAGACCTGCCAACTGGTTACAGAGATTGAGAGACGGGAAGAAGGAGTCAAAGGCGACTCCACAGTAAGTAAGAACTCAGAAAGCAGAACCAGACTTAAGTATTTATGAGCACTTGTTATATATTAGGCAATTAATCAAACGGAACCTGACTTCCAGTTAGTATATGGGAGGAAGGTCAAGAAGCTGAGGTTTGGCCCAACCGGCGTGGCTCAGTAGTTGAACATCAACCTATGAACCAGGAGGTCATGGTTTGATTCCCAGTCAGTGCACATGCCCAGGTTGCAAGCTCAATCCCCAGTGTGGGGCATGGAGGAGGCAGGTGATCAATAATTATCTCTCATCATTGATGCTTCTATCTCTCTTTCCCTCTCCATTCCTCTCTGAAGTCTCTCTATATATATTTCAAAGAAGCTGAGGTTTGATTTGGAAGGGTGAAATGTTCACTTTTAGAGAGGTTAGGATTTCAGGGGAGCAGGATACCCAAAGAGAAAATGTCCAAAAGAAAGTTAGAAATACATGATTGGAACATAAAAGAGTTTCAAGCAAAAGTACAAACCCGGGAGAGACCTCTAAAAGGAAAGGACTGAATATAGAAGGAGTATGTGGAAAACTCTAACGCTGTTCCAGGGAGCACAGGGAGTTCCCAGCCACATCAGCATTACAGAGAACAAAACATCACTGCTCTGACCCTCAGGAATAAACGAATGAGAACAAACATTTATTTCCCACTTGCATGTGCCAGGGAATGAACAGTCATAGTTCACAACACCACTGAAGAAGCTGCTACCGTCTCTGTTTTCCAGGTGAGGAAACAGGTAAGGCTTTGAGAGGTCACAGCTGGTCTGTGCTGTGTTTGGGGCGCCAGCCAGGGACTCTTTCTCCAGAGGGCTTGCCATTATCACTAGAGGGCTGGGCACCCTCCCCAGTGTCCTTTACATGCTGGCACGCCAACCCTTTGCCTCAGGTCACCTTCCGTGAACCCTGCATGAGCCAAGTTACTGTCACATAGCAAACAGACAAGAAGTGCCAAATGCCCTAGTGGCCAGGCTTAATTATTTATGAACATTTTATTCTTTGAGGCACTGCGTGTATGTAAGGTAATGAAGCAGAAACCTGGCTTCCATTTAAAGTATGAGAAGAACTTCCAGAGGTTGACGTTTGATTTTTAAATCAAGAACACAAAGGTGTTCCTTGCTCAAGCTCTCCTTCGTGGAACAATAATTGTAAGACTAGTCAGAAAGAGAGGAAATCCACATATCCTGCTTTAAAATGTTGCCAAGATTCCATAGCATGCCCACCAATGTAATCCTTTTAGCCAAGCCACTGCCAAGGCAGAAAGGAAAGGCACGTACAGTAAGAGGCTGCTTTCCAAAGCTTCCAAAGCTTAAACTATGAATAGGTTATAGAAGAGCAACAGAATCAGATGTTCCTGTGTTAGATAAGCACTATACCAAAATCACCACAGAAAATGCTCTGAATCTTCTAAGTCACAAAAGTAGGGGGAAAAAGATGGGAAGACAATGAACTAGAAAAGTGATATTAGAGTTTCAGAATATTATTCTTCTGCTGATGGATCAAGTTCTGTATCCTCAGGAGCCTTAATACCACGTGCATTTGTGTATAAGACATGAAATCAAACACACAGTTGTTGCAATACTGGGCATTGGGGAATAATACATCTGTGCAAAACGAATTCTGGGAGAGAATGACTATCAGATGTCCGGGTGTGTGTTGAGCAGTGTAGGGGCAAAGAAAGACAAATGAGAGCCATGCAAATAGCAGAGAAAAATCGATTCCTGAAATGGTCTTCTTCAAAACCCAAAATATAAGGCTTCAGAATTCGTGTTCACAGTACCCTACATGCTAAGGTTTTTCTAAGTTCTTGGCCTCACTGCACTTTATTGCCTATGTTTCTGAAGCAATAATTTTTTTTTTCAATTTCCCATTGTTGATGTTAAAAACAGGAGAGGCTGAGGAGGCTCAGGAGGCACGGGCATATTACTAAGGGTGCAGTGGGGAAAAAGTGTGGGGGTTGGTTGTGGGATGTTGTGTTTTTTTAAAAAATATATAAACTACTAAGGAAAGCACTTTTTCAAAATAATATGGAAACATTTATTTCCCAAGTGGGCTCACATACAACTTAGAAATATTATTACTGCAATTTCTGTTTACAAGGTTATTACCAACCCCAGAGTCTGAAGTCACTAATAATCTAAAACAAAATAACAACAATTACTGTATGCCCTGGCCAGGTGGCTCAGTTAGTTGTTGTCCCGTACAACAAAGGATTAGAGGTTCGATTCCCAGTCAGGGTACATACCTAGGTTGCAGCTACGATCCTCGATCAGGGCACATACGGGAGGTAACCCAACCAATCAATGTCTCTCTCTCTCTCTCTTTCTCTCTTCTCTCTTCTCTCTCTCTCTCTCTCTCTCTCTCTCTCTCTCTCTCTCTCTCTCTCTCTCTCTCTTTCTCTTTCTCTCTGTCTTCCACTCTCTCTCAAATCAATAAAAGCATATCCTCAGGTGAGGATTAAAAAATACACAAACCAACCACTGTGTGATCAAGAACAGATATCTCAGGTGCAAAAAAATGCCTTTTATTAAGAAGATAATAATTCTACAATATTTAAACTGCTTTTAAAAGGAGAAAGACCATATTTCCTTAAATTTCAAAACACTAAGGCATGGTCATAAAATAGCAATGCCAATCCCCTGGGCCCATGCTTGTTTCCATGGCTATAAAAACCCACAGCTCAAAATCTAGTCTTATTTTAATTATCTTCACTGTTTTAATTAAAATAACGCCAATTCTGTATTTAATTTAAAAAAACACACATAAAAATGAACATAAGCATGTGTGGCAAATGAATTAAGTTTCTGGGAAGAAATGCTCTCAGCATTCAAACATATTGAAATATAAGCTCAAAATACTCCACTTTGGATAAGGACAGCCAGCACCTAAACAGCAGCTTACTCAAATCAATGGCAACTTGGTCATCATGTGCAGTCTTTGGTCTTCTTATAAACCTGCTTCTGCACACATCCAAACCTCCCACGCAGGTCTCAGGTAGCGCTTGCTACCTCCTCTGAAAGACCTCCCATGACTACTTGATGTAATGGTCACCCACTCTTTAGCATGTTGCCTTATGTTAATTTTCTAATTGGTTTGCTTGCTTATTTGTTTACTGGCTTTATCCCCTAAGTAGACTCTGGCACTTCTCATTTGTTGTCTCGCAGAACAGCTATGAAATATGGTGGTTGTCACTTTCAACCTCCTTTGTGAATCCCTGTGGCACCAGCCCGAAGCTTTGCACATGGTACATGCTCAATCAATATTTGTTTAATGAAATCTGTTACACTGAATTGATGCATGAAGCAATAATTGTTCATTTCCTGTTGAATGCAGAGGCGACATTATTTATGCTGCAATGAGTCTCTGACCTGGTAAAATCTTAAACATAAGCTTTTACATTTCTGATCTAAGGAAAAGCTATCAATTGTACTTTTAATGTTATCATCTTAAACTGAATCATGCAGATATTTGTAGTATATTATTTCTACTCTAAGTTGCAGAGATATATTCTTTAAAGTTTTCAAACACTGACTTACTTTCCAAAATGAAAAATACAACCATTGGTATAACAGGTGACTCACCTGTATGTTCTTTTTCTTCAGGCATTTAAACATTTTTAAAATTTATTTCTATCACTGTTTAACTTTTATTTAATTCTGTGTGGAGGGTAGGAATTTTGTAGTGTTATCTCAAAAACAGATACAAGACTTAAGAACTTAAATCAATCTCTATTGATAGATGATACATTAGATAGAATTATGCATATATAAATATATCTATATATGTGTATGTATTTATATGTATATCTATAATTTGTATATATAGCTTATATTATATATGTGTAGATATACATACATGCATACACATGCATGTATCTGTGTGTATATATGCTGCTTTAGTGTCATTTATAATTCCACAAAATTTGATATACTTTGCAAATATTTTCGAAAATGTAATTATGTACTTTAAAAAAGCAGGTATCAGTATCACCTCCCAATATTATAAATGAAATCTTACTATAAAGGAATATTTAGATAAAATAATCATATTTATATGGATATATCAGAAACTCTAAAGAGATGGAAGTTAAAATTTTGTGGAGATGAAAACAATAAATTAGCTGATGGAAAAGAAAAGATAAAGTTTCTAGAAGAGTTAAGTAAAATACTCACAGTATTCTTCTGGCAAATGATTTCCTGGGGGGAAAAAAAAGTAAAGAAGTCAATACAAAACTAATTAATTCAATTAATTAACTGAACCATACTTTATGGGAAATTTTGTATTAATAATTTTATTAGCAATTAGAGATTTCAGGGAGTGTAGAATAAGTCTTTGCATCTGAGAAGTTTACAATCTGACAGAGCGGAGTCAGGAGGGCACAAAAAACAGCACAAATATGTAAAATCCCCAAACTGAATAATCTAAAAATCATTTTGGCAGAATATGTGCATGTAGAATTATTTTTCCAGTCATGATCTTTTTGGAAACTGTTAAAATGAGTTTGTTTTCCCTAAATAAGTACAACCTCACTCATGCCCTGGGAGGAGACCAAGCAGCATGCTGCCTCCAGGGCAGCTGGAAATAAAGGGCATTGGCCACTTATCAAAATGGGCCAATCCACACATAGATAATAAGGCCATAAAGAGTCATAAATATGGTCATGTGTTATTCAACAAGAAACAGAAGGCAATTAACATGTTACGGGCAGTATCCCTGTCTTTTAGGTTATGAGGAATGAGATCAGGCAAATAACGTGCCTGGTGCATAGAAAGCTCTTGATAAAGCTAACTATCATCATTATTATTCCTAGATGTTAAAGTGGAATCAGGAAATGTAAGACATTTGTGAAGCCTCAAGGGTGGCTAAGAAGAGGCGCCAGGCTCCAGCTGGTTTGGCTCAGTGGATAGAGCATCGGCCTGTGGACTGAAGGGTCCCAGGTTCGATTCTGGTCAAGGGCATGTGCCCGGGTTGTGGGCTCAATCCCCAGTAGGGGACATGCAGGAGGCAGCCGGTCAATGATTCTATCTTATCATTGATGTTTCTATCTCTCTCTCCTTCTCCCTTCCTCTTTGAAATTAATATATATATATATATATTTTTTTTTTAAAGAAGAGAAGCCAGCTGTAGCAGGTGAGAGAAGAGCCATACAAAACTCAGGGGACTAGCCATCATTCTTAATCCCAGGATCAACACGGCAAGGGAAACCAATGAGGACTTTGGCTTACAGCAGGATGTAAGACTTTTGAATGTTTAAGGATAACAGATAAGTAAACAAAAATCTATAGAGAAAGGAATTGTGCTGGGTAATTTTGAGAGCCATAAAATACATATAACTAAAATACCTTCAATACTTCACAATCTTGCTAATAAAAAGGACATGTACACATTTAAAAAGAAATATCATAAGCCTAGATGCACATGCATGTGTGCACACACATGCTCAGTGATGGCGAACCTTTTGAGCTTGGCGTGTCAGCATTTTGAAAAACCCTAACTTAACTCTGGTGCCGTGTCACATACAGAAATTTTTGATATTTGCAACCATAGTAAAATAAAGATTTATATTTTTGATATTTATTTTATATATTTAAATGCCATTTAACAAAGAAAAATTAACCAAAAAAAATGAGTTCGTGTGTCACCTCTGATACGCGTGTCATAGGTTCGCCATCACTGTGCTAAGTCAAAAGAGCATATACATCAAGGACTGGGGTTTCTAAGAGAAAGAAGATGTTACTAAGAATTGAGAAGATCAGCAGAGAGGGTAGAACTCAAGATAAGCCAACAAGAACAGACACAACTTCCCAAGGCAAGGCTGGGAGGTGAGGATCCAAGCTAGAGGACTAAGAACAGCAAAGGCCCATGTAGGGAAGAACAAATATTATCACTGACTAAAGAAGACAGCTCATTTGGGGAAGTACAGAAGAGAAAATTAAAGAAGTATTTGAAAAAGGTCTTAAATGTAATTATTAGGCTAAAGCAGACAGTTCATTTTGGAAAGTACAAATAATAAGATTAGAAAGTCATTGAAGAGGATTTTGAATGCCAAAATATACTACTCTGTTCTGTGGGCATTGGGCAATCAAAGTGTTTTTTAAGCTGAGCCATATACATAATGAAGTTTCAACACACAGGGAATACTTCTCTAACTGCAAAGGTTGGAAACAAAATAAATGTCTATCAACTAGAAACTGGTTGAATCAACTATGATATCGCCATACAATGAACTTCAATGCAGCCAAACAAAGAATGAGGAAGTTCTTTATGTAGTGATATGGAAAGATCTCCAAGATATACTGCTAAGTGAAGAAAGCGCAAAGTACAGAATGGTGGTTTCTTTTAATCCTCACCCAAGGATATTTCTTTCATTGATTTTTAGAGAGAGTGAAAGGGAAGGAGGGGGGAGAGGGGGGAGTCGGGAGGAAAGGAGGGAGAAACATTGATGTGAGAGAGACACATTAATTGGTTGCCTCTCACACAAGCTTACAACCTAGGTAGGTGTCCTTGACCGGGAATCACACCCACAACCTTTTGGTGCACGGGTCCACGCTCTAACCACTGAGCACACTGGCCAGGGCTAGAATGATTTTTACTCTATGCTCCTATTTATGAATAAAAGGGAGAAAAAAAATTCTAAGGTGTACAATCATAAAATATCTATGGAAGGAAGTCAAGAAACTTATAACAAACAGATGTTTCCATTGAAGAGGGGAGCTGGCTGGCTGAAGGACAAGGAAGGAGAGTGACTTTCCCCTATACCACATATTCTTTTGCACTTTAAAATTTTTAAATGTATTATCCAGGTGAATGTATTTCCCAAGAAAGACAAATAAAAGGTAAATGTTGTTAAAGTTTTAAAAATATTAACTAGGTGGTTGTATTAGTATTGGAGGGGAAATGTATTTAGGAAACAATTGCAAAAGTCCAGGGGCCTCACAATAAGGCTTTGGGCAATGGTGGTGCCAGGGGAGTGGAAATCAAGAGACAGATGAGAGACATTGTGGGGGAAGGTTGAAAGAGGTTTTTCTCACAGGTGCTTCACAAGCAGCTACTGTGTGCACACAATCAAGCCCACATGCACACACACGTACATGCACAGGTCTCTGAACAAACTATTATTATAAAACTAGAGGCCCGGTGCACAAAAATTTGTGCGCTCGGGGTGGGGGGTCCCTCAGCCCAGCCTAGGCCCTCTTGCAGTCTGGGACCCCTCAGAGTATATCCACCTTCTGGCTTAGGCCCACTCCCTGGGGGATCGAGCCCAAGCTGGCAGACATCCCTCTGGCAGCCCGGCAGCCCTCGGGGGATGTCCACTTGCCAGCGGGAAGCAGGCCTAAGCTGCAGTCAGACATCCTTAGCGCTGCTGAGGAGGTGGGAGAGGCTCCCACCACCACTGCTGTACTGGCAGCCTTCAGCCTGGCTTGTGGCTGAGCAAAGCTCCCCCTGTGGGAGCGCACAGACCACCAGGGGGCAACTCCTGCATTGAGTGCGCCCTGGTGGTCAATGTATGTTATAGTGACCAGTCATTCCCAGTCGTTCTGCTGTTAGGGTCAGTTTGCATACTACCCTTTTGTTATATAGGATAGAGGCCTGGTGCATGGGTGGGGGCCAGCTGGTTTGCCCTGAGGGTGTCCTGGATGAGGGTAGGGGTCCCACTGGGGTGCCTGGCCAGCTTGGGTGACGGGCTGATGGGTGTTTGCAGGCTGGTCAAGCTGCCCCCAGTGGGGACCCTCACCCCATGGAGGTTTGGCCAGCATGGGTGAGGGGCTGATGGCTGTTTCCAGGCTGGCCACACCCCTTTTAGGGTGGGGGGGTTCACTGGGGTGCCTGGCCAGTCTGGGTGAGGGGCTAAGGGCCGTTTTCAGGCTGGCCAAGCACCCCGGCAACAGAAGCTCCCAGCCTCTCCTTTTTTTTTTTTTTTTTATTCTGGGATTTATTTACCCTCTATAATTGAAACTTTATAGCCTTGAGAGGAGCTCAGAGCCGGCCAGGGTGGGCGGGAGGGAAGCCTCCTGCTCACTCTAGCTCCATGGCCATAGCTGGCTGAAAGCAGGTATCTGGGGGTTATTTATCTTCTATAATTGAAACTTTGTTGCTTTGAGTGGAGCTCAGAGCCGCCACAGCAGGCGGGAAGCTTGGCTTCCTCCATCATTGGGGCAATCAAGCCTCCTGCTTGCTCCAGCTCTGTGGCTGCCGGCCGCCATCTTGGTTGGGTTAATTTGCATGTAGTCACTCTGATTGGCTGGTGGGCATGGCTTAAGGCGTAGCGAAGGTATGGTCAATTTGAATGTGTGTCTTTTATTAGTGTAGATAAACAGAAAAATGTTGGATAATCAACAAAGTCAGGAACGCAGTATGGAGAATTTTCGAAATCTGATTTATGATACATCTCTCCAGAACAGTACACGACAGCCTTTCATACACTGTTCTCTTGATAGGAAGATCCTCTCTCCTCCAAATAACAAGGAAAAGCCCTTTTCCTCATGCTCTGCTAAGTAGCATCCCCTGTGCATTGCATAAAAAACCTGTTTTCTGTAAAGCTGGCCTTCACCATCTTCTATGATACCTATCTTCCCCAAAGAAGTAGATGATGCCATACTTTGGTTGCACTAACCTGCATACACACCTCTATGACAGCACTGCATGTACCAACTGCAAATGTTTCTTCATATGATTCCCCCATCCCACAGCGTGAGTCACCTTGGATGCCAGGGCCATGTTTTATTCATATTTGTACCCCACTAACAGCCAAGCAAATTGAATGGCACAGAGTAGGCACTCAATAAAAACATGAATAAATGAGTTAATGAATGGATAAGATACTGGACTATGGCCTGGGTAGATATGTGTAAGTTCTAGCTCTGATGAGCCAGGTGTCATTTCACCTCTCTCTGAAGTAACACACTGAGAGCTGGGTTGAGTGATCGCTGGTCTCTTAAAACTCTGTGCTCTATCATTTGCTTTTGGCTAAAGGCCCATCACAGTCAACACTATCCTTGTGTCACCGGAAGGAGAGATGCCCCCATGCCCTGCAAGGGAGCTATTCTACCACCATCTCTCTTTTGGTGCACCAGGCACAGGAATGGCAGCGGTAGTCACAGGAGGTGACTTGTCACTTGGGGTGAGAACTGAGTGAGCTAAAGGCTCTGCTCCCTACAGAATATAATCACAGCTGCTTTGGCTTAGAGCCAATATG